GCGAGGGCTGGAGGGAAACAGAAGGAACCTGTGTGCCCGGAGGGGCGGGTCCGTCCCCGGGGAGGGAGGGAGCCCTGCCTGGACGGCGCCGGCCCCCCAAGGAGAGAGAGAGGCTCTTTGTCCCGCTGGGCTGCAGCTGAGGGGGGCGGGGAGGTGACTCCGGGCCCTTCTCCAGTGCGGACCCCTCTGGGAGACCCAGTGGGTGATGAACTAACTGCTCCCTAACCTTCTGTCCGCTGCCCCCGCAGGTGGTGGGCTGTGGTGGTGCTGGTTGCCATCCCCTCCCTGGGGGCAGGTGGGGAGACCCCCGAAGCCCCTCCGGAGTCCTGGACCCAGCAATGGTTCTTCCGCTTTTTGGTGAATGCTGCTGGCTACGCCAGCTTCATGCTCCCTGGCTACCTGCTGGTGCGGTACTTCAGGCGGAAGAACTACCTTGAGACAGGTGTGTGGGCCAAGGGTGGGGAAGTGTGCTCGGTGCCCAGGAAAAGTGCTGGCCAGCTGTCCAAGCAGGGATGTGGCTTGGCAAGGGAGGGAGGGAGGAGAGCAGCAGGGCAGCTGGCTGCTCTGGAGAAAACCATGAGGTGCTGGGGAGAAGACTGGGGCTTGACTTTGCGTGCCTTCTGCAGGCAGGGGTCTCTGCTTCCCTCTGGTGAAAGTGTGTGTGTTCGGCAATGAGCCCAAGGCCTCCGACGAGGTTCCCCTGGCTCCCCGGACAGAGCCGGCGGAGACCACTCCTACGTGGCAGGCCCTGAAGCTGCTCTTCTGTGCGGTGGGACTCCAGGTAGGCGGGCAGGCTCTGCTTCTCTCCCTGCATTGGGTCACGGTGGGCAGGGGCTCTGGAACCAAGGTTTTCACCCTTCCAGTCCCAACAGTGTTTTAGTTGGTTATGTGTCCCCCTCCTAGGGGCACACTGTACCACCATCTTAGAAGTGATTGGAGAAAATGTCTCTCCCCCCCTCCCCCCGTGATTTCTACTGTCCTATTACACTTTCTTCCACAATGATGTGTTTCATATACTGTACTGTAAACCCACTGATAAAAGTTTTGGGGGGAAGCCATTCAGCCTTCTCCCACACTGCATGTGAGAAGGGGTGCCAAGATGCTGACCTCATGGCATTTTTGAGTGGACACTACTAGTCCCACCTCATATAACATGTCAAACTGATAGATGTCCAATTCTTGTCTGCCTGAATTGGTTGGAAATAGAAAATATTTGGGATGGAGTGAGCTCTAACAAACCCTCATGTGGGACAGACAGGGTCTGGGCAGTTCTAAAGCATTTGTTGTGTTTCACACACACTTGATTCCCTACAAGATAAATCCAGGCTTGAGAGGGAAAGGGAAACTTCCTAGTTACTACACAGAGGAACCAAATTATGTGTGTTGTCCTTTAAACTAGCGGTCGCCAACGGGTGGTCCGTGAGGTCGGAAAGGCTGGCGACTGCTGCTTTAAACAGCCTTCTGAGGAAGAGGGAAGTTGATGAAATCCTTTTTTGGCAACCTTTTCCTTATTTATCTTTTTAATCTCCACCCTCCCTCATCCAGGTGTCTTACCTGACTTGGGGAGTGCTGCAGGAAAGAGTGATGACCCGCAGCTATGGGGCCACAGCCACATGGGCAGGTGAGCGCTTCACAGACTCGCAGTTTCTGGTGCTAATGAACCGAGTGCTGGCATTTATTGTGGCTGGCCTCTACTGCCTCTTCTGCAAACAGCCCCGACATGGGGCACCCATGTACCAGTACTCCTTTGCCAGCCTGTCCAATGTGCTTAGCAGCTGGTGTCAGTATGAAGCTCTCAAGTTTGTCAGCTTCCCCACTCAGGTGCTGGCCAAGGCCTCTAAGGTGATCCCTGTCATGCTAATGGGAAAGTTGGTGTCTCGGCGCAGCTACGAACACTGGGAGTACCTGACAGCAGGCCTCATCTCCATTGGGGTCAGCATGTTTCTGCTGTCCAGCGGACCAGAGCCCCGAAGTTCACAGGCCACCACACTCTCGGGCCTGATCCTATTGGGAGGCTACATTGCCTTTGACAGCTTCACCTCGAACTGGCAGGATGCCCTATTTGCCTATAAGATGTCGTCAGTGCAGATGATGCTTGGGGTCAACTTCTTCTCCTGCCTCTTCACAGTGGGCTCCCTGCTAGAGCAGGGGGCCCTCCTGGAGGGGACCCGCTTCATGGGGAGACACAGTGAGTTTGCTGCACACGCCCTGCTGCTCTCAGTGTGCTCTGCATGTGGCCAGCTCTTCATCTTCTACACCATTGGACAGTTTGGGGCCGCAGTCTTCACCATCATCATGACCCTCCGCCAGGCCTTTGCCATTCTCCTCTCCTGCCTCCTCTATGGCCATACCATCACGGTGGTGGGGGGCCTAGGGGTGGCTGTGGTCTTTGCTGCCCTCCTGCTCAGAGTCTATGCCCGGGGCCGCTTAAAGCAACGGGGAAAGAAGGCTGTGCCCATTGAGTCCCCTGTGCAGGTTTGAGGGACCTGACTGGCAAAGTGAACGAAGATCCTTTTACCATACCGTTTTCCTCTCCTAGTGTGTAGCTTCTCACAGGTGGCTGGCTCAAGGGCAAAATGCAAGCTTTCCTCAGTATCACAAACCAGCTCTGCAGTTAGGGGTGGGGAGGCCAGAAGGCCACCTTCCCTTTTGCCTTAAGCCACCAGTCCTCTGGTATGACTCTTGAGCCCGAGTAGAGTTCTGTTTGGAGAGGGGCGAAGTATCTTCCAGAAATTCCCTTAAGTCTTGCTGTTAGCTCTGCCACCAACCTCACCAGTGCTTGTCCCCTACCCTGAATACCCGTATAGATTCCTCCCCGATGCCTGCATTTCTTACTCTGGTGATTGTAAGCAGAGTGCTGCTTTCCTAGGATAAATGACAGGTGGTGCTGTGCTAGGGGAGGGGAGAGCCCTGCCAGCAACACCACCCTCTGCTCCTGGATCCCATGGCTCTGCTCAGAGCCAGTTGCAGGTTTTGGTACTTTGAAAATGTAACTTTCTGCTCATAATTTTATTTTTATTAAATTAAACTGCTGCAATGGACTTGGTCCTATATTTTGGTGGAGTTAACATGATAGTTCTCTTCTCATATAATCCGTACTTCTGATGGCAAGGGAGACTTGGGATAGAGCAGCTAAGGGAACTCAAAAGGAGCAAAACTGTATAAAACGGCATCTTCTTTATTTTGCATACTTTAATTTCAGAACAAAATAAAAAAAACCACAATACATAACACATCCAAAACTATGTCAAATATGAGAAGAGGGCTTGAGGCCACTGTAACCTGCCTTAAGGAAAAGACAGGAGAGGGGAAAAGCCACTAAACATCAGAGGAAACCAGGTGGGCTAGGGCCACTCAGGGCTTCTGGGGGAGCCATGAAGACTACAGAGGACACAAGGTCTGCAGGTAGAAACTCCTAGTCTACTTCTTCCATGCGAGAGGCATCCTCATCACCCTCAAGGGGGGGGATCTCATCAGGAACAGCAGCACTGGGTTCTTCTGCTGTCACTTCATCTTCATCAATGCCTACAGTGGGAAAGAATGTTACAAGAGATTTGACCCAAGTAGCATCCAAGTCAAATCTGTCCATATAAGAGCTATTCCCCAATAGTGGTACTCACCTAGGCCTAGCTTGATCATGCGGTAGATGCGGTTGGAGTGGGTCTGGGGATCCTCAAGTGAGAAGCCAGAAGAGAGCAGTGCAGTTTCAAACAGCAACACCACAAGGTCCTTGACAGCTTTGTCATTCTTGTCCGCCTCTGCCTTCTGGCGCAGAGTCTCCACAATGGGGTGGTCAGGGTTGATCTCCAGGTGCTTTTTCGCCATCATGTAGCCCATTGTAGAGTTATCCCTAAGTGCCTGGGCTTTCATGATACGTTCCATGTTAGCTGTCCAGCCGTAGGTGCTGGTCACAATGCAGCAGGGTGAAGACACAAGCCTATTGGAGATAGTCACCTATGGACAGTCACAAAAACCTTCGGTTTATATTAAATTGCATTACCACTTTAAGGTAAAAGTTACGCGTATTTTAAGTTTTATCATCAGAAAAAAAATGCTCAATCTTTGCCAAATTTTAAGTAAATAGCAGCCTTAAACCTGCTTGCTTAAGAGAGCAAGAGGTATGATGACTAAATTAAGTTGCTTAAAATTACTAATTGTGTAGCAACACAAGATTCTGAGGGAAACAGCCTTGAAGGCATTTATTACAAAATACATCAGTCCCAAAATTGGCTTACCTTCTCAACCTTCTTATCCAAGATTTCTTTCATAAGTTTGCAGAGGTTCTCAAACTTGGCCTTGCTCTCTTCCATTTTCTTTTTCTCCTCTTCATCCTCAGGTAGCTCCAGGCCCTCCTTGGTAACTGAGACCAAGCTTTTCCCATCAAACTCCTTGAGCTGCTGCACACAGTACTCATCGATAGGCTCTGTCATATATACTACCTCGAAGCCCCGCTTCCGCACTCGCTCCACAAAAGCAGAGTTAGCAACTTGCTCTTTGCTCTCACCTGTAGGGTTATTACTGAATGTGAGTCAAAGACCAAAACGCTTCATACCAGTTCCCAGGCCTCCCCTAAATGTCTCCCCCAATCCCTACACCTCTACTAAGGAGGCCGTCATCGGGCCCAGGCTCCAACGCACCAGTGATGTAATAGATGGATTTCTGGGTCTCCTTCATGCGAGAGACATATTCTGAGAGAGAGGTCATTTCGTCTCCAGACTGGGAGGTGTGATAGCGCAAAAGCTCAGAAAGGCGTCGCCGATTAGTCGAGTCCTCGTGGATTCCAAGCTGTAAGGGTGGAAAGAAAGAAAAATCTTATTTGGAACTAACCTCTTACTCTTCATGTGAATGAAAAAAACAAACCCCACATGGTAATTATAAATAATGTAAGCATTTGCTGCCTCTTTACCTTTAGGTTTTTAGAGAACGCCTCGTAGAATTTCTTATAGTTTTCCTTATCTTCCGCCAGCTCAGAGAAGAGCTCAAGGCACTTCTTAACAATATTTTTACGAATGACCTTCAAGATTTTACTCTGCTGGAGCATTTCTCGGGAAATGTTCAGGGGCAGGTCCTCAGAGTCAACCACACCTCGGATAAAGTCTGCAATCACAAAGAGAAGAAAGCTCAGTTAAAAAAAAATCCATTTTTCCTCACTGAATTTTCACTTGCTATGTTATAAAAAAATCCTTATTTATCTAAGACTTTAGTCCCCCTGAGAATACTGAAGGCTTTATAGGACTTGCCCAACCAACTCCATTAGGGCAAGAGGGTACTCACTGAGATACTCTGGTATCAGCTCATCACAGCTGTCCATTATGAACACACGGCGGACATAGAGTTTGATGTTGTTCTTCTTCTTCTTGTTCTCAAAGAGGTCAAAGGGAGCCCGACGGGGGATGAACAGCAATGCCCTGAATTCCAATTGACCTTCTACAGAGAAGTGCTGAAATTCAAGACAAGCCAACAGTACATTTCAAGGTTAAGCATAAATTTTAGACCCAACCCATGCTATCAAAATGCCTGGAACAAAGATCTTTCCTAAGCACTAGAGCATACTCATGGGGCAGCTGTTAAGAAAATTAAGCCCTAATATCCTAAATGAATCTAGAGAATAGTCAGGTCCGAACCCAGGATGTGTAAGGCTATCATGGACACAGAGGTCATTGGAAAGGATGCAATTTCTGCACCCTAGAAGTGTCACCAGTAAGTAAACTCATGTTGCTCATGGCATTCACAGTTCCCAGCTACCAACAAGTTGGGCAAGTTCCATTTGTCTAATCAGCCACACCCTTCTACCTGCTCCTATTGGGCCAGCATACAGGGTTTCCTCACCTTGACTGCCAAGTGGTCTTCCCAGTCATTGGTAAGACTCTTATAGAACTCTCCATATTCCTCCTGGGTGATGTCATCAGGGTTTCTGGTCCAGATGGGCTTGGTCTTGTTCAGTTCTTCATGGTCAATATATTTCTCCTTAATCTTCTTTGTTTTCTTTTTCTTATCCTTAGCACTATCATCCTCCTCATCTGAGCCCACATCTTCAATCTTGGGTTTCTCCTCATCATCTTTATCTTCCTCCTCTTTCTCCCCTTTCTCTTCCTCTGCTTCATCATCACTGATTTCTTTCTCTCGTTCCTTCTCCAACTGAAAATACCAAATACAATAGTTTTAGAGACAGAACATCAAGGAAAGGGAAAAAAAACCAGGCACCATACAATTCTCCAAAGCAGTAGGCACCATGCATGTGAGGGTTTCCAGCCCATACTCACATAAAGAGTGATGGGATAGCCTATGAACTGCGAGTGCTTCTTCACCACTTCTTTGACCCGCCTCTCCTCCAAGTACTCTGTCTGGTCTTCTTTAAGGTGGAGGATCACTTTGGTGCCCCGGCCAATGGGCTCACCTAGAAAAAGGCAATCACAATGGAGCATAGAAAAAAATGAAACTAAACGCAGAACTGTAGTGAAAGGCAACTGCTTTACAGATAGGACACTCAACATGTCTAGTACCGCCTTCCCCAGAATGCTGACGCAGTAACCTTTACAGGAAAGCCCACCTACCGTGGTCAGCCCGCACAGTGAAGGAGCCCCCGGCAGAAGACTCCCAGGCATACTGCTCATCATCATTGTGCTTTGTGATCACAACCACTTTCTCTGCCACCAGATAGGCAGAGTAAAAGCCAACACCAAATTGTCCAATCATGGAGATGTCTGCACCAGCCTGCCAAAAAGTTTTTAAAAAGAAGTTTTTAAAAATAGCAAGCCAAAGAATATGAACAAAAATACACATGGCGTGTGCCTAGCTAAAATACCACATACCTGAAGAGCCTCCATAAATGCCTTTGTACCAGACTTGGCAATGGTTCCCAGATTATTTATGAGATCAGCTTTTGTCATGCCAATGCCTGTGTCCACCAGAGTGAGGGTACGTTCCTGGGGGTTGGGGATGATGTCAATTTTCAGCTCTTTACCACTGTCCAACTTGGAAGGGTCAGTCAGGCTCTCATAGCGTATCTTGTCCAAGGCCTGAAAACACAAATTACAATTTATTCAACTCCATCTCTTCACCCAAAATCCAAAACACTTTTTTGTTTTTTACTCCCATATTAGCCTCAATTCTGATAACCCCTTAACTTGAGGTTTAAAAACCGAATGCAGCCCTGGCCAGTGTGGCTCCGTTGGAGTGTCGCTCTGTACACCAAGAGGTTGTGGTTCTATGTTCTCTCTCACGTTTTTCCTCTCACCCCAACTTCCACTAATATTAATAAGCATATCCTGAGTGAAGATTAAATAAAAAGGTACACAGGTGGGTCCAATATCCCATCTACCCACGTAGAGCAAAGACAAACGTTTTTGAGGTTTATCCCCTTCAATAGATCCCACAAATATGCCCCCCCAAGTAACACAAAAAAAACCCCACACACCACCCATGCAGACCCCCAGGCACTCACGTCAGAAGCATTACTGATCAGCTCCCGAAGGAAAATTTCCTTGTTGGAGTAGAAAGTATTGATGATGAGAGACATTAGTTGAGCAATTTCTGCCTGAAAGGCAAAGGTCTCCACGTCCTCCTCTCCATGGTGCACCACTTCCTCCGGCATCTAAAACAGGAATTACAGAGGAGCTCAATGTCACACCGAAAGTCCACCCCATCACAGTGAAGACATGGAGAGAGTTCCTTCAAACTGCTTCGAGCTGGGCCTTTTCCTCAAAGATTTCGGGCCGTAAGGTCAGTCGGAACGGACACGGTCCTAACAAAACGCAAGGTCAGGGTTTTGGAGGCCGAACTCCTGAGCGGCCCACGGGCCGGAGGCCTCAGCATCACCTGGCAGCTGGTTAGGAACGCAGATCTCGAACACGAGCCCAGGGGACTCCAATGCGCCTCTAATGGGGGGAACCACCCACTCCCGCTCCATTAGCTTTCCCGGCACCAGGGGAGGAAAACCCCAAGGTCACTAGTTTAACGTAAACGGCAACGACCTGAAACTCCCCCGCCCCCGTTGGGATGTGCCACCTCACCGGGGAGGATAACCTGAGACACTAAAACAAAGAG